TAGGGACTATTGATGGATGGCTGTATTTGGAGCTTAACTCCAGTGCCAGATGCCCCAGAGCTGACGAAGATGAACTCCCCATTTACTGAAATCCATCCGGGCCATCACCACGTGGAGGGCTCCAGGATGGCCACGGTTGCTCTGCAGTTTGGGGAGGAATTCTTGTTCGTTTCTCAGTAACCGCATAGCAGATGTGAGGAGGAGGACTCCTTACCGCTCCTCTTGCTGGAACAAAGTGTTACCCAGTTGCTAACCTCCCAGTCCTGGGAACCCATAACTGTGAAGTTTCGGGACAGTGCTGTGCAGCAGCAAATAAATTAATTCTCCACCTCAGGACGCGGCTCTAATGGCTGCCTGTCCCCCTCCTAAGGCAGCCTGCAGAAGGCGGGAGCCATGTGAAGCTGTGCTTCTGTCAGCAAGCTGAAAGCCCTGGGTCTCTGACACGGCTCTCAATTGCTAGCAGGTTTCTCTCATTGCACCTCATTTGCATCTGGGACATCAATTAGCATGTTTGTTGAGGCTAATTGAATGAAACTCAATCATAGCTCTTAATTGCTTGACTATGTGAAAAGAAATCACATTAATGCAGCTAATTAAGTGTACGGCAATAGATGCAACATAATTAGGAGCGAAATGTAAAAAACAAGAAATGGCAAAGGTGCAGGAGCCGGGGTGCAGGGGGACAGGGAGGCGCGGTTACCGAGCTGTTGGTATGTTCGGAACGGGTCCCTTTGCTCTGGTGCCTGCTTGGAAAAAATAATCCACATGATGAGCATGGACAACTTGAGAAGAAAAATGCAAATAGGTTTGCAATTACTACTTTTTCAAGCTGTTGAGGGGCAGGAGATGGCACCTCTGGGGGGCCTGGCTCTTGAGTGGGCCCCAGGGACTTGTTAAGTGCTGTTTAAAAGTACTTGGCTTTGAATTACCCTCATGCCTTGTTAAAGGGTTTTTTCCTCTTTTATCTTCGATCAGCATTTTCTACAACTAACACTGAGAAGGGTAGTATCTGTGGCATTTGCATATCAGAATCAAGCCTGCGATCTTTCTTTTACCCAGCAAGGTCCCTGCCGCAGACCCACCCCGGCTCCACACATCCCACTTCTAAGGAGCGGACATGGTTTCGCCGCTGCAGCTTTCATTCCTCTAGTACCAAGCTGGGGGGAAGATGAAAGGGATGAGTCCTTTCCAAAACAGAACACTTGGTGCAGTTTCTCTTGGGAGAAACCAGAAGCTGCGGGTCCATGAGTCTTCCTGTTCCACCTGTTTATTGAAGGGCCAGGTTGGAGGGCTTTCATGCCTTGGGAATCGCATTTTGTAAGCTTTTAGCCTTTTTTTTTTTTTTTTTTTTTT